AAACCATATTCTTTATCTGCAATCTAATACACAAACCACGGCCGTTTTTAAGAAACGGACCTCATTCCGCACTTCACGTCGGTGTATTTTTCTTGAGGGACGTTTACCTTTCAGAAATGTATATGTTTATAGACCAGAAGAAATCCCCCGTACTGCTTTTGAGTGTCCTGCACCGTAGTGTTTTTCCCCTGGTTTCTTTAACAGGCAGGATGAAGCCGATCAGTTGGAGCCGCAGGAAGGGAGGGATGGCAGAGGAGGGATTGAGTTACCTTTAAAAGCTCAGGGTTTGAAGACTGCGGCCAACAAGCTTTCACTCTCTCTGTGGGCAGGGGCGATTTTAAATGGCACGGCTCAGATGATCGTTGTGGCCTCTCGTGCTTAGCGGATCCACAGGCCTTAACCAGGCCCTCAGCTGTCATTTTAAAGCATGCAGATGCGTTTCTCTATGTGCGTGTGTGCAACGCCACAGTCAAATATTGTAAAATGGCACAAGGCGACATCTGGAAAGACTTAGCGCTCTAGATCACCTGCGATTCAGAGTCAGGAGTAATATCTGTATAAAACTGGAGATACCTATGTTTGTATCATTGTGAAGAAATATATATTTAGACTGTGTCTAAACCACTCTTGTCTATTTGTTATTTTAATACCTTGCTGATATTATTACCATGACAGTTTGCGTGAAAAGTTACAGTATCTGAGGTTTTCTTGCATTCAAACGTCACCCAAGCATCTTACTTTAGCATTTGCTTCTTGTCTTTGCCATAAGTCATGGGAACAGAAGGAAAGATTAATGATTATAGCAAATCTTAAATCTGTCAGATTTCTTTCTTTATGAACCACAGTGAAAAAAAATCCATCCTAATCTGCCATCTCCTGTACTTAAATATGAGTATTAAAGTCAACATGATTTTAAAATTGATCCATTTACTCTCATAATGCTCGTTCACTGACTTATTGTGCATAAATTATTGGTGTAGATTATCCAGAAGAAACATATTTGTCTTTATAATCTTTTTTTTTTTCCGGAAAAAATAATAATAAAAAATTACCCTTCAAAAGTTAGGGGTAAGATCTTTTTTTTTAACCGTCAATACTTTTATTCAGGGAGGATGCATTAAATTGATCAAAAGTGACAGTAAAGACATTTTTATTTCTTTTGAACTTTCTATTCATTAAAGAATCCTGAAAAAAGTCCACAAAATATTGAGCAGCACAACAGTTTTCAATCATTTCTGAAGAGTCATGTGACACTGAAGCCTGGAGTAATGATGCTGAATATTAAGTTTTAACATCACAGGAATAATTAGCTTTTTACAACATATTAAAATAGAAAACAGTTTTTATTTTATTTTTTTAACTGTATTTACATCAGATTTAGAGTGCAGCCTTGGTGAGAGACTTAACAGACTTCATTCAGAAACATAAAAATAATGTTACCGACTCTAAACTTTTGAATAATAATTTAATAATAACTCCTTAATCAACATTTCCTTCATGTTTAATATGCATGAGGAGTGTGATGTTGTTCCAATGAGCTTTTGTTGTAGGCGTGCACATTGTTATGGAGAATTTGTAACGTGAGTGTTTATTGTATATTTATCAATCATCATTTGTCGGATAATCTGGAGAAAGATGAGTAGGACCGCAGCATGTCTTTAATATTTTTAACTCTAGCCTTTTATTTATTATCTTGTAATTCCTTCAAATCGTATTATTAGTGTAAATTATAACTCAGCCTTAGTGAAAAGAAGAGTCAGAGATGCTCATTAATATGGCGTGGTGAGCAGAATGTGAATGTCCGTGACTCTGAAGGCCCCGTGTAGCGTAGAGCCCCACTGAGTGATAGGAGGAGACAGGAAGATGTGCAGGAGCCCCAGCCCAGCCCTCATTAGCACTCACCACTACCTGTCACAACACGTTAGCCACAGCGTGCTAGCCACAGTATGTTAGCCCCTCCGTGACTTACGCACAGCAGGTTAGCTCCAAGCGTGTTAGCAACGGCACATTAGGTAGAGCATGTTAGCTCCGTGTGTTAGCTTTTAGCTGCTGCCTCTCAGGTCCCTGTGCGTTAGTGATATCGCCAGTTGAACTATGTTAGCAAACTCTTATTTAAACGCATTTGCCGAGGTTTTGTTTCAAGAATTTTAAGTAAAAGCATGTTTTATGTCAGGGCTTAAACCCTCATCAACCATGTTAACATGGTCCTTGTGCTACCACTGCACCAGAAAAGTGTTTTTTAAAGCTGAAGAATTGATTATTTTCAAACAAGTTTCCCAAATCTGCTCGTCTCCTGTTATAGTCCCGCCCCCAAACTCACGCCATTGGTTGCTGTGTGTTTGGCTGGTGAGGATATGTACACTGGGTACCACTCATCTCCACTACAAATAGGAAAAAGAGGCTACAACTTGCAAGAGCTCATCAAAATTGAACAGTTGAAGACTGGAGATGATGAGTCTCGATTTCTGTTGAGACATTCAGATGGTAGAGTCAGAATTTAGCACAAACAGAATGAGAACATGGATCCATCATGCCTTGTTACCACTGTGCAGGCTGGTGGTGGTGGTTTAATGGTGTGGGGGATGTGTTCTTGGCACACTTTAGGCCCCTTGGTGCCAATTGGGCATCGCATACCTGAGTATTGTTTCTGACCATGTCCATCCCTTTATGGCCACCATGTACCCATCCTCTGATGGCTACTTCCAGCAGGATAATGCACCATGTCACAAAGCTCAAATCATTTCAAATTGGTTCCTTGAACATGACAATGAGTTCACTGCACTAAAATGGCCTCCAAAGGACATTATAAAGTATGCTTTCAGCACCTTGTTGAATCAATGCCACGTAGAATTAAGGCAGTTCTGAAGGCGAAAGGGGGTCAAACACAGTATTAGTATGGTGTTCCTAATGATCCTAATCCTAATGGCGAGGGTACTCTTCTATCTTTGTTATATTGCTATAGTCATTGTGCAGACCCCTTTATTTATTTTAATGTTACATTCTATTCATTATAAGCTTTTCATCAACTCAGAAACCCCCTGCTTTTTCTTCACCAACCGCTTTGGGAAACCCTGGTATAGAGTATAATATACTTGAGACCCAGAAGGGATGGTATTTAAGGACAGACAATATGAAGACTTCCCTCATCAGCCACGCGCTGGTTTTCCTCTCCGAGCTGAGCAAGAGGTCACAGGTCACCAGACAACATCCTCCCTGTATTCAGCTCATAATTAACCTAAACATCTACAGCATCCGCTGTTTTCACGCTGAATCCTCTTCACTGGGGTCGATGGAAAAAGGAAGCATAAAAGTGTTTGGGGCTGCACAGTGAGTCCAAGGATCGGTCAGTTCTTCCCACTGGAGATCCCCTCCTTATCCAAACAATCTGCAGGCCTCAGGAGGACGATGACGGGGTGTGACCAGTGAGGCACTGGAGATGATTATCACCCCAGACACCTTATCCAGTCTGGATTAACTGTTATCACAGACTCAAACCACTTTCCCCTTCCCTGTGTTTGTTTTAACAGCTCTAGCGGTCAAATATTTTTTTTGTAATTTTTTTTTTTTTTTTGGTGCTGTGTATATTTACTCGTATCTGCAGAGGTCGCATACATGGGCTGGTTGTGGTCTGAAAGTATGGGTTTTCAAAAGCAAATAACTTAACTTAACTTTTGAATTGTGCAGCAAGTTTACTGGTACAGGGTTTGAAAACGCATTATATTGCTGTTGGCGTTTATAATTGAAGAGTTCAGATGCAAAAGCCTCTAAATGCCATTTGAAATTTTCTTCTTGAATGATGATTTTTATCAAACTTGTATATTTAAGTTCAGTAATTTCACTTAAATAACAATTAATAGGTAATTATCATCGCCATTTAAGTGAAATTACTGAACTTAAATATACAAATTTGATAAAAATCATCATTCAAGAAGAAAATTTCAAATGGCATTTAGAGGCTTTTGCATCTGAACTCTTCAATTAGTCTTAGTGTTGAATATGTATCTTTTGCATAGACTAAGTTAATAGACCATTTCAGTAGCCTTCAATCTGTTTATTTTTTTTCTTTGTTTACGTCCAGGCTACCTGTTATAATTTTTCCGAAATCCCTTTGAAGAAAGAAATGGGAAAAATACTCTTTAAATTAAGAATTTTGTGGAACTGATGTTGTTTTCCTGTTTATTACTGTAAAGCTGTTTTAAAGCAATATATATACATATAAAATTCAAATACTGTACAGCATATAGCACATATAAATAAACTTTATTTACAACCCCTTTGCAGTTACTGCTCTTTTTCAGAATTTCACAATATTGTGCTCTCTTTATATTGTGCAAAGTCTTTTTATTGTTAGGATGTGCCTTTACACAAAAAGGAAATACTTGCATTACTTCAGACATTTTTAGATAATTATATACAATTCAAATGGGAAAAACATGTACACGCATCACAAGCCAAGCTACACAATATGCTTATAATATTGAGGAGCGCTTAATGCAAAACAATGTTGTGTTGGCCTCCAGTAGTTTTTCCTATATGTGTGTTGTTTATGGAAAAGCGTGAGCCTATCTCACATCTATAAATTGACATCAGTCAGATTTGACTATTCGATAATGGAATGTCTATTTTCAAAAATTCTCAATAGTTTTGTCTAATTGTTAAAAACGTAAGAAAATGTATGTTATTTAAACTTGAGAGTTGAACGTTATTGTCTGCTGTTGAAATGTAAGAAAACATTCATTTTAATGTTCTTTAATAACATTCGAATGATAAAACCAGTGGGATTTATAAGCATAAGCTGTAATACAGTTTGTTTGCCACTAGAGGCACCAAACAGAATTGCTCAAATAAATGGTTTCTCCATTTTCCATTGGTTTAGTCAGTACTTTATAGGCCACTTAAACTAGCAGTCTGTTTGGTGCCACTAGATGCGCTGAAATTGGACATTTTCAATGGCTGCTAAACTCTCATGACTTGAAATATTTCTGTGTATTCTCGTTTAGGAGATGGAGAGGACTTTTCTCTTTTCGCCTCTGATGACCTGGAAGAACTTGGAGTATCTGATGCAGATCCACTTCCATTGGCCACTGCGAGTGACCTTCCTTCCCCTGGCCTATCAGGTGATGCGTCCTCCCCAGTCGCCCCCTCCCCCTTCCACCAGTCATTCCACACTTCAATGTACCTGGCCGGGGATGGGGTCGAATCGGTGCCCCCAGACTTTGAGGTCCGCGAGTCGGCCGTTACCAGAGGAAACCTGGGTGTCTGGAGCCGGAGGAGACTGGAGGTGGGAGAACGTCTTGGACCCTACGAGGGAACTTCAAGACACAGCCCAGAAACGTCTACCCAGGCATGGGAGGTAGGATCAAACAATGAATTCGAGATGTGTTCCTTTTTCAGATAAGAAAATCCTCGAAGCGTGCAGATAACATGGGCTCATGGGCTGCTGTTATGACTTAGGGTTTTACTGTCATCAGTTGCGAGGCAGTGTGATTAACCCTGGCCCGCATGTTTTATGGTGAAGCACCTCTACTCAGCTCTGTGATCTTACACTAACCCCAGTTAGCATTGCTGTAATCCCATTAGTCACAATTACTAGACAGGCTATTGGTCAATGCCAATTACATAATATAAATGTCCTTGAAAGTCTTTTTAATGCCACTTAAGTCTGAAAATGTGTACAGAAGATTTCACACGCTTATTCTTCACAGTAAACAAGGGTTGTGTGCCATTCTGGAGAGATTTGAGAGATTGCGGCTCAGATCCAGAAATCAGATTGAGGAAGAAAACAGAATTTGAATTTGAATGGAAATAAATTAAATTGTCATTTTTAACTAGAGGAAAGTTTTAGTCGGACAATTTTCTGAATGTATTGCTTTAGTGCTCTGACCTCACTGATACAGATTAGAGTGGTCAATTCTCCCTCTGTGATGTCATCACAGTGGGAGGAGTTAGACTTTCAAAACTCAATTAAAGCCCGAGGCTCATAAATCCTTCTTTTTGGCCAGGTTAAAGACCACCCCTCCTCACGACTGCCCTGTCTGTCAGATATCAGTCAGTCTACTCTCCCAGTCGAAACCAGGTCACAGGACAAGGCCAGAGGTCGAGTGTGGTCTTAGTCAGGGTCATTTTAGGCTAATTTCTTCTGGCTGGAGAGGTCGCAGGAGGAGTATCAGGCTAATTGAACATTTAAATAGACTCGTCCTGCTCTGATAAAGAAACTAAACCTCATTCTTGAAGAACGTCCATTACGTTTTAAAGCAGAGGTTCATGATATGGTATTATCTGTAAGGTAGTGGCTGTAAACACATTTTTTGTAAGCAGTAGTTTGAGCACTGCTTAAAGGAGCAGTTCACTTTAAAAAAAAAAAAAAAAAACTCTTGCTGATAATTTACTCACCCCCATGTCATCCAAGATGTCCATGTCTTTCTTTCTTCAGTCGAAATGAAATTAAGGTTTTTGATGAAAACATTCAAGCATTTTTCTCCATATAATGCACTTTACTGGTAACCAAACGGTTCAAGGTCCAAAAGACACTTTCAGTGCAAACTGCATACTGTTCAAATGGCTTTAAACGATTCCAGCCGATGAATAAGGGTCTAACAAATCTTTTTCCGAGTCAATTTTTTCACTTCGTTCATTGAATGAACCAAATGACAATAAAAAAGATTCATTCATTTTGATGAACGAGTTCGAACAGGAGAGTCACAAACATGCATTACAGAACAGAGCAAGACAAGCATTTGAGCTTATAAAACTTAAACTTTGTTTTTTTTTGTTTTTTTAAATGAGTGATCGTTTCGCTTGATAAAACCCTTATTCATTGTCTGGAATCATTTAAAGCCCTTTGAACAGTTTGCACTGAAACTGTCTTTTGGTTCCCAGTAAAGTCCATTATATGGAGAAAAATCCTGGAATGTTTTCATCAAAAACCTTAATTTCTTTTCGACTGAAGAAAGAATGTCTTGGATGACATGGGGGTGAGTAAATTATCAGCAAAAGTTTTTTTTTTTTTTTTTTTTTTAAAGTGAACCACTCCTTTAAGCAGAGATGCTTGTTCACAGTTTGAATTGTATGTGTTCAGCTTTTATGATATGTTTATTTATGATTAATTCTGGTTTGCTCAGGGCCGGATTTTGGTCCTGTTTGTATGGCGATGATTTAAACGTTAATAATCAGTTCCAGGCTGTTTTTGTAGAGGCGTTTTTGTCAGGACGTGGTATTATGGTTTAAGTTTGGTTGGCATATGTAATTATGGTTAACTTTGACTAAACGCTGTTGAAAGGTTCGAATTTGTTCTTGCGACTGTTCTTGAACTTGCATTTTAATCTTTTTTCTCTTTGTAAGTTGTTTTTTCCCTCCTCAGCATGGCAGAAATCTTACATGTGCAAACATTAGGTTTTAATATGATTGAAAAGGCAGCTGTCTCCCAATGGTAGATTTACAGTCTCTTGAGCAAGCACTCTCTCTCTTTCCCGCTGTCTCTCTCTCTTTCTTGTTCATTCACTATGGAAGGAAACGAAGGAGGGGAAAAAAATGTTTCATGAATTTTAATCTATCTGTAATTTATTGCATGCTTGAATAATATGTATTTAAGAAACTGAGAAGCCACATAGAGAGAAAGAGAGAGATATGGGGGACGGATGACAGCGTGGCGCGGCAGTGCTGTATCACTATGTTTAATTAGCTGGCTGACAGCGGCCCATAACTCTCTCCATTAAGTAAATAAGTTGTAAAGAATTTATGATGAAGTGGCGCATTATTCAGAGGGGATATTCAATGATGACATGGACACATTAAATATGGTAAATGGCATTAAGCGTATCTCCCTGCCTTTCCCTCTCATTCTCCTCGGCACCCCCCCTCCCTCCATCCCGTCGAGTGAGAAGCCGTCAATATGCCAATATGCAAGAGACTGTAAAAATAAAATTGATTTGGTAAATGCGAGTTAAGATAGATCTGTTTGCTTTCATCATCAGTTTTGCTGTGTGGAAGAGTGATGTCACCGGCGGGGGTACGATAAAGTCCGAACCCATCTGGAGGCTTTGATGAAGTGTGTGTGTGTGTGCGTGTGTGAGGGAATAGACGCTCAAAGCTGTTTGTACACCTCTCTGAGCCTGATTGTGTCTTTGTGAGCCTGAAAATGTCGACATTTTGTGTGGTTGTACTATTGTTTTTGCTTGTTTCATTGTTAGTTTGTGTGATTTGTGTGAAGGTCTTTGCTTCTGTGATGATGTAATTGTGTAAAATTGTTTGATTTGTTGCTTAGTTGCACAAAAAATTGGCCATTTTTCTGATAACCCGGATGCAGAGATGATTTCTTGTGGAGCAGCGTTTATAGCTGTTTGTTTGTGTGATGGTGTGCAGGTGTTTATGTGATTTTATACGTTTTATGCGATCAAGTGCCTTTTGTTTGCATGTATTTGTGAATTTTTGCAAGCACTTGTTTGATTGTGGAGAGGTGCTTGCTGGTGTGATTGCGTGCATTTGTTTGTGTGATTGTTATATGCAGCCGAAAATATGTGAACGCATGTGAGTTTTTGTCTGTAAATGTGTGTCTAGGACAACTTTTTATGTTTGCACAGCTGTGTGTGACATTGTGGATGATACATGTGCACAGAAGTGGTTTTTTGTGTGCAAATTGTACATATGGATCGTTTGTATTAGAAGGTCTATAACTGACTACGACGAGGTTTGTCACTGAAGAGGTCAGAAGCTCTCTGAGCCACTATCATAAATTCAAACCTTTACTCCTTGTGTGTGTGTGTGTGTGTGTGTGAGTAATGAAAGCTGTTGAGTTATGGGTTGAGATGACTTCAGTAAATAAAAAAACACCTGCCTCACAAACACACACAAAAGCCATTTTGTGTTGAGTTTTTGCAGCACTCTGGTTGTTTAGGACAGGTCACTGTATGTTGACCCTGCAAAGGTGTGTGTGTGACCTTATGTTGTGTTTGTGTGAATGAAAATAAGTGTGTGTGTGTGTGGCAGTGAGGGGGGTGTCCAGGAGCTTTTGTGCACCTTTTGAGCGCAAGGACATAGATGGAGGGGACGTTGGAGATTAGCCCCGTGTGTGTGTGTGTGTGTGTACGTGGCTGGAGATTAAGAGTGTGTGTGAATAGGGGTGAGGGATTAGGCCTCCTCAGCATGCCTGTCCCCACACTCCTCCGTCTTTTCATCCCGCTATCCTGCTCTCCAACTTCTCACTCTTTCTGTCTGTCTCTTTTGTGCTGGAACCTTCTCTTTCTCTCTCTCTGTCCCTTCTGTCTGTCACTCTCCCGCTCCCGTCCGCTCGATCTGTCAGTCTTTCTCAGAAATATTTATCCGCTCCTTGTCTTCCCTTATTCTTCCCTTCTGATATATATTCCTCCTCTCTTTTTCAGGGCCCGAAAGGAAGTTTAATCCCTGTCTCAGGGAAACTGACCTCACACACACAAGCCTTTCAGATAGACTTCTAAAACTCATCTCATGTGTTTTTATGAAGCATTATGCTTTAAAGTATTCACTGAGAACGCTTCCACTGTTTCACGCGCTCATTCTCAGGAGGATAGAGAGAAGGTGTGTGTGAGAGAGAAAGAGGCTTCCTGTAGTGTATTGGGACTTTACCGGTCTACAGTTCACAATACTGGCACAGTTTCACTGCCGCTCTGTTTAAAGACAACATGAAATCAACAAAGACTTTATTTACTTACTGTGCACAAAACAGTAGTACACATTAACCTAAATTAAAATGTTAGCTTCTGTAATCTTTCAACAAAGTGTAATAATTTTCTCCGGGCCACGTCAATGGGGAAAAGTAATATTAACCAATAATTTCTTGACACTCTGACATTCAGTCAAATCCTGATGGATAATTAAAGGTGCAGTAAGCAATTTCTGAGAAACGGGCCGAGAGCCGAAACACACTTGGAGCCAATCAGCGGTAGGGGGTGTAAACATCATCATTAGGTGGGAGGTTTGTGTTGCATAGCATGTTCGTGAATTTAGGGGTGGAGATATCAAGATAGCTGTGTGATCCTTTTAGGTAGGGGCGTGTTTGTTTTTGTTGATTTCAAATATCAACAGCATTTTTTCAGAAATCGCTTAAAGGGATAGTTCACCCAAAAATGAACTTACTCACCCTGAACCCATCCTAGGTGTATATGGCATTCTTCTTTCAATAGCGAATACAATCGAAGAGTTATATTAAAAACATGTCCTGGCTCTTAATGAGAGTGAATGGGTGTCTGCCTTTGGAAGTCCATTAAAGCACATCTATTCATTCAAGTGCTCGACATGGCTCTGAAGGGGTTAATAAAGGCCTTTTGAAGTGAATTGATGCGTTTGTGTAAGAAAAAAAATCCATATTTAAAACTTTAATGACTAAAATAACTAGCTTCCGGCACACGGTCGTATGCATCAATTTATGCACAAGAGAGCAACGCTTGAACTTGAAGCACAACGTAATTGAGATCTGGTGATTGTGGGGGCCATTTTAGTACAGTGAACTCATTGTCATGTTCAAGAAACCAATTTGAAATGATTCGAGCTTTGTGACATGGTGCATTATCCTGCTGGAAGTAGCCATCAGAGGATGGGTACTTGGTGGCCATAAAGGGATGGACATGGTCAGAAACAATGCTCAGGTAGGCCGTGGCATTTAAACGAAGCCCAATGGGCACTAAGGGTTCTAAAGTGTGCCAAGAAAACATCCCTCATTACACCACCACCACCACCAGCCTGCACAGTGGGAACAAGGCAAACCTAGCCAAATCAGCCTAGAAAATCGCAACTTTACATGTTCCGTCGGTCTTAGTGCACGATGTAACTACAGAAGAGTCAAGTTTTAAATTGGAAAAATATCTAAACACCTTAGTCTTTTTTTTTTTGTTGAGAAATGTTAATGGTCTTATGCACTTCTATGATGCTAAGCTATGCTAAAAGTGGTACCACCAGAACCAGAGATCAGCTGAATGGATTCAATAACGGTAAAACTCAACAGTTTAACTCTGGGGGAGTTGTAAAATGAGCCTATTTCCAAAAAAAAGCGGAGTATCCCTTTAACCGTTTAAACAGCAACTGTCTATGAATGTGAAGGAGGAGTCAGGAGTCAAGCCTGTATTCTCTTGCCAGTAACCAT